AGAGCCCCTAGCTATACCTTGTGGCTAATAGCCACCGATGGACCTCTGCTCCAGATGCTTATCTAATTCCCTTTTGAAGCCGTCCATGCTTGTAGCCACCCCCACCTCCTGTGGCAGTGAATTCCATGTGTTAATCACTCTTTGGGTGAAGAAGTACTTCCTCTTATCCGTTCTAACCCGACCGCTCAGCAATTTCATGGAGTGCCCACAAGGAGTTCTTGTATTGTGAGAAAGGGAGAAAAGTACCTCTTTCTCTACCTGCTCTTTCCCATGCATCATCTTATAAACCTCAATCATGTCACCCCCCAGTCCTCGTTTCTCCAAGCTAAAGAGGGCAGCTTCGTGTTTGTGCGTTCACGGGAGACTATCTCACACCCATCGTGCTTCCAGACCACCCTCTATTTCTTTATTTACAACACTTTATTAGCCGTTTTTCTTCCTTAGCCAGCTTCATTTGCCCTGGCAGGGAGTCGATTAACCCCTCCCTTGAGTCCGTTAGCATGCAGCCGGCTTATCTTCTCCCAGCAGAGAGGCGACGTCAGTCCCAGTTCGACGTTGACTTCCAGAAGACAACTTTCTCAGAGTGTTCGGTGTAGCCCTTTCGGAGGCAACCCCCACATCACCGGGCCCTGTTTGGCGCTCAAGGGCTTCCCCACCACCTGGACGTTTCTGTCATCACTGCAGGTAAGAGAGTGGGTGGAGAGTATGTATAGATTTGTGGGCCAGGAACCAAAAGGTAGCTTCTAACTAGGAAGAAGTGAGGATGGGAAGAAAATGGCTGCCGTGCAGGGTCTCCAGGTCCCTCCCGGCCACTGGTGGGAGGGGAGGGTGGCCAGATCCAGGTGGGGGAGCACCTGGAGATTTGGAGATGGAGCCTGGGTAAGCCGGGGACCTCAGTGGGCTACAACGCCACAGAGTCCCCCCTCCAAAGCAGCCGTTTCCTCCAGGGGAGACCGATCTCTGCAGTGTGGGGATGAGCTGGGATCCCCAGGCCCCACCTGGAGGCTGGCATCCCTGGACCTCAATGGGGCACAAGGCCACAGAGTGTCCCCCCCTCCAAAGCAGCCGTTTCCTCCAGGGGAGACCGATCTCTGCAGTGTGGGGATGAGCTGGGATCCCCAGGCCCCACCTGGAGGCTGGCATCCCTGGACCTCAATGGGGCACAAGGCCACAGAGTGTCCCCCCCTCCAAAGCAGCCGTTTCCTCCAGGGGAGACCGATCTCTGCAGTGTGGGGATGAGCTGGGATCCCCAGGCCCCACCTGGAGGCTGGCATCCCTGGACCTCAATGGGGCACAAGGCCACAGAGTGTCCCCCCCTCCAAAGCAGCCGTTTCCTCCAGGGGAGACCGATCTCTGCAGTGTGGGGATGAGCTGGGATCCCCAGGCCCCACCTGGAGGCTGGCATCCCTGGACCTCAATGGGGCACAAGGCCACAGAGTGTCCCCCCCTCCAAAGCAGCCGTTTCCTCCAGGGGAGACTGATCTCTGTAGGCTGGAGAAGGGCTAACCTGCCTCAGAGGCCTTTGTGTGTGGATAAAATCGGATAGTGGTGAGAGTGTTGGAGAACCGGTTTCCAATCCCAACTATGCCACGGAGGCTTATGTACATACAGAGGGACTACACATCCTCCCTATTTTAGTGTATTTCTTTTTCAGAATAGCATATTAGAATACTGAACGTTATACGAGGAATATTGGATTGTTTGGCTGACATAAGACTGCTTCCACTTCGAAAGAGAAAGCAAAAGCGCTGTTAAGCGACCTCCAAGCTCCGAGTGAACGGAGACTCTCAAATTTATTTTGACATTTTTATTGCTTTACAGCTGTTGACCTTATAACCGTAGGTGTTATTTAATTCTGTTTTTGCATAGCTTAAAACATCTTTGTCATGTTACACGTTAATTTGCTGTTCAGCCCGTCTAGAAGTCTGAACCTTACATCCCATTCCACTGTACGTTTTCTCCAGGGGAAACTGATCTCTGCGAGAAGAGCTAACCTGCCTCAGAGTTGTGTGGATAAAATCGGATAGTGGTTAGAGTGTTGGAGAACTGGTTTCCAATCCCAGCTATGCCACGGATGTTTATGTACATACAGAGGGACTATACATCCTCTATATGTTAGTGTATTTCTTTTTCAGAATAGCATATTAGAATACTGAACGTTATACAAGGAATATTGGATTGTTTGGCTGACATAACACTGCTTCCACCTCGAAAGAGAAAGTAAAAACGCTGTTAAGCGACCTCCACGCTCTGAGTGAATGGAGAGTCTCAAATTTATTTTGACGTTTTTATTGCTTTACAGCTGTTGACCTTATAACCGTAGCTTGTTATTTAATTCTGTTTTTGCATGGCTTAAAACATCTTCATCGTGTTACATGTTAAGTTGCTGTTCAGCCCGTCTAGAAGTCTGAACCTTACATCCCATTCCACTGTATCTGAAGCCTTGAATAAACCTTTGTTGGTCCTAAAGGTGCCTAAAGGTAAAGGTAAAGGGTTCCCTTGCTCGAAAGCCAGTCGAGTCCGACTCTGGGGTTGCAGTGCTCATCTCCGTTTCAAAGCCGAAGAGCCAGCGCTGTCCAAAGACGTTTCCGCGGTCATGTGGCCGGCATGACTAAACACCAAGGCGCACAGAACGCTGTTCCCTTCCCACCGAAGCGGTACCTATTTATCTACTTGCAATTTCTTGCTTTCGAACTGCTAGGTTGGCAGGAGCTGGGGCCAGAGATGGGAGCTCACTCCGTCATGCGGCACACTCGGGTCTCGAACTGCTGAACTACTAACCTTCCACAGCCTGCAGTCCAGCGTCTTAACCACTTGGAGCCACCGCAGAGTCAAAGGCTACATACTGGACTCAGATTTGTGATTCTACGTGTATGTGAGCGACGGCTGCCCCCTGGCTTTTAGCACTTAGGTTGATTATGTGAAATATACTACAGGAGAATTGGTAGACCTTTGGCAGTATCTGAACACACACAGCCTTACCCCCGCCCCTCAGTGAAAAGAGTGCCTTCTCTAAGGTCTGACAGCTATGAGAACCTGAGTGGTGTCGTGCTTAAAGTATTGGACTGGTGTCTGGGAGACCTGGGTTCGAATGCCCACTCGTGTCATGGAAGCTCACTGGGTGACCGTGGGCCAGTCACAGCCTCTCAGCCTGACCTACCTCACAGGGCTGTTGGGAGGATAAAAAGGAGGAGAGGGGAAGGATGTAAGCTGCTTTGGGTCCCCGTTGGGGGTGAAAGGAGGAATATAAATAAGGGTGGGGATTTAAATTAAAAATTCTCAGTCACAATTCTTGCAAGAGGTCCCCAGGCATTGGGATACCATCTCCTGTCACCCTGCCCTCCCCAACTGATCGATCATCCGCGGTCATCTGGAGTTACAGCCCGCACTCGGCCTACTAAGGGAATAGCTAGCCAACAACTGTAACAATATTTGATCTTGCGCTTTTGTAACTCCGTTTTTGTTTTCTTATTGAATGTCCGTGTCTTATTGAATGTCCGTGTCTTATTGAATGTTCGTGTCTTATGGAATGTTCGTGTCTTATGGAATGTTCGTGTTTTTCATAATGTTCGTGTCTTATGGAATGTTCGTGTTTTTCATTAATTTTTTTGCTTCTGTCCCACACCTCAAGCTACGAAGGAGGCAGAGCTAACCAAAATTCTGAATCCCATGCCGCTCTTATTAAATGTATATCCTTCTCCTTCCTCTGAGAAGCTCACACAACGGAGTGATTGATCTGATTGATTTCGGTTCTATCTCACATTTCTCCCCAGTGGGGTTCCAGAGCAGCTGACGTCGTTGTCTCCCACTCAATTCCATCCACACAACAACCCTGTGAGGATGGTTAGGAAGGCTGGACCTATGTCACCCTGCTAGCTGCCATGGCTTCCCTGTTGAATCCTGGGGAGGTTTTTGTGCCAAGTATTATAATAACTTGTAATTCAGCAGTTTCCCGTTCCGTTCTGTTCCTGAAGTTCCTTTGTAATAAAACAGCTACCTTGGGGTCACCCACTGAATGTCCTGGAAGGCTGAAGTCTTCTCCTACAGGTTTCGCAGCCTTGTGATTCCTGATGTCAGATTTGGCTGAAAGACAGAAGTTTTGAGAAATGACTGTAATCCTGGCCCCCTTCCTGTCTGATTTTTACTGTTGAAATTGAAAGCTACCGCAGCACTCACAGGATCTGGGTGAGGGAGGCTGTCATGACCCCCAGGGGGTCGCCACCTTCAGCTGCCACCACTCTGGACTTCGGCCCAGTGTACCCTCCCAAGCCCATCCAAAATGCCCCTTTTTAAGCCGAGAACTAAAGGCGTGATGACCAGGCAGAGAACACTTAAACAAATGGTTTATTAACACAGTACTGGAAAACAAGACAAGGTACTTTAAAAGATATAACAGTGTTTAAAAGGCAAAATAAACGAATCTAACGCGGCTACCTAGTTCACTTAACTAGCCACTATTTCAAGGCCCACAGCCCTCCCATACCAGGCCTCCTGGCTGCACTCACTCCGAGACTGTCCCCTCTGTGAGACCAGACCGCAGAAGAGCAAAAGACCACCGTCCCCTTCAGTTTAGCTCCATGAGAGGAAAGAACACCGTTTCCCACAGCCCACAAAGTATGTAACAAACACCTCAGGAATCGCTGGACACCGATTACTTACAACCATTGCTAAGCATTGTGGGGATTGTAGGCTGTATCTGCTTTCCACTGCCATGCAGGTCCCTCCTGGGACCAGGCCGCACCAGACTCTGGGTTGGGAGATTTGGGGGCAGGGCCTTCAGAGGTTGGGAGTTTGAGGAAGGCAAGGGGCTCAGCAGGCGTTAGTTGCACAGTGCAACCCTCTGAAGCTGCCTGTTTCCTCCAGGGGAACTGACCTCTGTCGCCTGGAGATCAATTGGATTCGCCTGGAGATCCCAGGATTCAGAGCGGGTTTTCTCTTTTTTTTCTTTCCAGTCATGCGACCGTGGCAGTTCTGCATCGGCTTTCTCTGGTCGGCTGTAACTCTCTCCGCACTGCCAGGTGAGTGCCCTGAAACTGGGAATGCAAGCAAGACTAAATCTGTATTGAGTTAAATGTAAAAAGATCATTTGCCTCGGGAGCACAGAAGCTTTAAGAAAGTATCCCCGAACTTCCACGTTTCCCAGTTAAGGGGGAAATGCCGTTCAAACCAACTACAAAGGCGATCTGACTCCAAAGGTAACAGGAGAAAGAAATTTTACTTACAAAAATAGAAGCACATCTTACATGACATGTTCGTGTATTTAACTTATTGCGAACAGATTAACTTCAGAAAAGGTTAAATTGCTACAGCTCCAAGCTCAGGTAAGAGAGGAGGAGGAGGAGGAGGAGGAGGAGGAGGAGATTGGATTTCTACTCTGCCCTTCACTTGGAGTCTCAGTGCAGCTTACAAACTCCTTCCCCTTCCCCTCCCCACAACAGACACCCTGTGAGGTAGGTGGGGCTGAGAGAGCTCTGAGAGAACTGGTCTTTTTCAAGGATGGCTTGCCCAAGGTCATCCAGCAGCTGCAAGTTGAGGAATCAAACCTGGTTCTCCCAGAATAGAGTCTGCACACTTAACCACTACACCAAACTGGCACATCTTACATGACATGTTCATGTAGGTACATTTAACTTATTGCAAACAGATTAACTTCTGAAAAGGTTAACTTGCTACAGCTTAAAGCTCAGGTAAAAGAGAGAAGAAGAAGATATTGGATTTATACCCCACCCTTCCTTAATTAGGGAATTAGATAGGCATATGGAGCAGAGGTCCATCAGTGGCTATTAGCCACAAGGTATAGATAGGGGCTCTGGGGCAAGTGATGCTCTGTCTTCTTGGTGCTTGGGGGGGCCAACAGTGGGAGGGCTTCTAATGTCCTGGCCCCACTGGTGGACCTCCTGATGGCACCTGGTATTTTTGGCCACTGTGTGACAGAGTGTTGGATTAGATGGGCCTTTGGCCTGATCCAACATTGGATTATGTTCTTATGTTCTTCACTACCCAAAGGTGTCTCAGAGCAGCTTACAAACTCCTTTCCCTTCCCCTCCCCACAACAGACACCCTGTGAGGTGGGTGGGGCTGAGAGAGCTCTGACAGAAACTGCTCTTTTTCAAGAACAGCTCTGACAGAACTATGGCTTGCCCAAGGTCATCCAGCAGCTGCGAGTGGAAGAGTGGGGAATCAAACCCGGTTCTCCCAGATTAGAGTCTGCGCACTTAACCACAACACCAGAGAGGTCCTAAGTAAGATGAAACAGAAGGAGACCCAAGGGCCGAAGAGACTCAACTTCTAACCGATGAGGCCCAACTCCCAAGTGTGCCCCAGTGAGAAAATTCTCTTGACCCTTTCCTTCCCAGATCCTCTTGCATGCAGTTACAACCAGGGGTCATTTCGTAGAAAAAGATGTGCAGGAGCTCATTACCATGACTCATTAGCATAACTGATTTGCATATCCCCCCCCCCCACATCACCGGAAGTGTGTCAGAAGGCAACACTCACCACTCAGGCTCCACTGGACTGTTTTGGATTGCTATTGGGGGGGGATGCGCAGATCTGCCCTCACAGAGGAGGGAGAGCTTGTACGGTGGGCCGGGGGGGGGGGGCTCGGCAACTTCCCAGTTTGGTGTAGGAGTTAAGTGTAGTGGAGCCAGTTTGGTGCAGTGGTTAAGTGTGCGGACTCTAATCTGGGAGAACCGGGTTTGATTCCCCACTCCTCCACTTGCACCTGCTGGATGACCTTGGGCAAGCTGTAGTTCTGTCAAGAGTTGTTCTTGAAAAAGAGCAGTTTCTGTCAAGAGTTCTCTCAGCCCCACCTACCTCACAGGGTGTCTGTTGTGGGGAGGGGAAGGGAAAGGAGTTTATGAGCCGCTCTGAGACACCTTTGGGTAGTGAAGGGCAGGGTATAAATCCAATCTCTTCTCTTCTTCTTCTTACCTGGCTGCTTCTTGCTCCTCATGGCCCGACTGAGGGCTGCTGGGAGCAGGGGGCGGGGCTTGTTGCATGTGCCTGCCCCCTGGGCTCCTTACTGTCGGAGCTCCGCTCCTGTGCGCTCCCGCAAGAAATGACCCCTGGTTACAACATCCAACAACCTATGCCCAGGGTCACTTAAGCGCTCGCCAGATCCTGTTTACCAGAGAAACACGCGTCCTCAGAGTGACCTAGGTATAAGCGCATAACTTTACCTTCGTCGTAGATCCAGAGAAGTTAGCCGTGTCACTCTATTGCTGCAAAATAGTAAGAAGCCCAGTAGCACCTTTAGGATGAACAAAACTTTATTGTAGCGTAAACTGTTAAGTCGCTCGCTTAACAAAGCAGTCAGAGAGTGATTCAGCAAGAACACAACTTTATTCTTCAGCTCGAACACAACTCCAACACGGATCAACATCAGATAGCCAGAACAGCTTTTACATTGCAGCTGTCCTGCTTTTAAACATTCCCGGCTAATATAGCCACACCCACTGTACACATATCAACCTATGAGGTTGCAGAGATAAGGTCCAATCACCTTAGTTCCCGCTCAGGGAGCTTGCATGAAGTGATTGGCTTGTTACTTCCTAGGCTAGCAATACTATTGGATGACTTTGGATCCTAGCCCAGGACGAAGCTTTACATCACATTCCAATTAGGTGTTTCACATATGTTAGGCATTCGAGGCAGCTTTGAATACACTACATAAACATTCGAGAAACACAGCTCTCTTCGTCCCGTCTGACGAAGAGAGCTGTGTTTCCCGAAAACTTATGCTACGATAAAGTTTTGTTAGTCTTAAAGGTGCTACTGGGCTTTTTACTAACCTTACTCCAGACGACCAAGATCAGTTTCCCCTGTAGACAGGGTTGCCAGGTCTGGGTTGGAAAATACCTGGGGACTTCGGGGGGTGGATCCGGGAGAGGGCGGGGTTTGGGGAGGGGAGGGGCCTCAGCATGTTACAATGCCAGAGAGTCCGCCCTCCAAAGCAGCCATTTTCTCCAGGGGAGCTGATCTCTGAGGGCCACTTTGGTGTCGTGGTTCGGAGCGCAGACTCTAATCTGGGAGGACCGGGTTTGATTCCCCACTCCTCCTCCACATGCAGCTGCTAGTGTGACCTTGGGTCAGTCACAAGTTCTCTCAGAGCTGTTCGCTCGAGGGCCTTTCTCTCAGAGCTCTCTCCCCCCCCACCTCACAGGGTGTCTGTTGTGGGGAGGGGGAGGGAAAGGGGATTGGAAGCCTCTCTGAGACTCCACGTAAAGGGTGGGGTATAAATCCAATCTCCTCCTCCTCCTCCTCCTCCTCCTCCTCTGTCAGCTAGAGATCAGTTGTAAAAGCAGGAGCTCTCCAGGCCCCACCTGGAGGCTGGCAACCCTATCTCCCAGTGTCACCACTGATCTCAGGACTGCTTCGGAGGGTCGCACGACGTACCCCTGCTGAGCCCCTTGCCTTCCTCAGACTCCAACCTCCCCAGGCTCCGCCCCCAAATCTCCAGGAATTTCCCAACCCAGAGTTGGCAACCAACCCTGATCCTGTGAGTGACTTTCACCTTTCTGGACTGGGGGTCCCTGGGGTGCAAAACTCTCATGAATGAAAAAAGCGAGGGCTGAATAAACCGGGGCAGGAAGACCCGCCTCTGCGGCTGGCTCCTCTACTCTCGGTTTCGGAGCAGGCCTCTTATCTCCTGAACTCAGCCCCTGGCCTGGGAGTTCCCCACATTCAAGCTATTATCACAGCTGACAGAGGCCAGCGTCCCAGGGGACAGGGGTGCAGGCATTTTACTGAGTCGCTTTAGGTTTGCCAACCTCCAGGCGGTTAGCAATGCATGCAGGGGTCATTTCGTAGAAAAAGAGGTGCCAGAGCTCATTAGCATAACTCATTTGCATATGCCACACCCCCTGACATCACCGGAAGTGTATCAGAAGGCAACACCCACTGCTCAGACTCCACTGGACTGTTTTGGATTGCTAGCTATTGGGGGGGGGGGAATGTGCAGATCTGTCCTCGCAGAGGAGGGAGAGCTTGTGCCTGAATAAAACTTGGTCTTAAAGGTGCCACTGGACTGTTTTGGACCAGGGGGCCGGGGGGGGGGGCTCTGCAACTTACCTGGCTGCTTCTTGCTCTGACTGAAGGCTGCTGGGAGCAGGGGGTGGGGCTTGTTGCATGTGCCCACCCCCTGGGCTCTTTACTGCCAGAGCTCCGCTCCTGTGCGCTCCTGCAGGAAATGACCCCTGAATGCACGAGAGATTACGGGGAAAGCCGTTAAGAACAAACCAAAATACAGCCGTGAAAGTGTTCCCTCTAAGCTGTGGAGTCTTGTGAGCAAAAATTCTACGTTGTGAGCTACTGGCATTAAAGTTTTGAGCCAGTGATCTGGCTACTGCATAAATCAGTTTGCTTTGGAGCCCTCCTTCCTGAGCTAAGACAAAAAATGTGTGAGCCGGAGGCTAAAAAACTGTGACCTGGTTCACACTCACTCAGCTTAGAGGGAACACTGGCCGTGATAACAGTTACTCAGTGTAACACCGCATAGTCAACTACACTGCTGACCAAGCACATTCATACACACATTTACATGCAAAGAGTATTAAGGATAAATGTTTTAAATAAATAAAGCACTCCTGATGTTTCCCCACGGTCTCCACTGTGGGTGGAGTCTGGCTCTTCTGAAGTCCTCCATCCTCAAAGCTAGGGTTCCCAACTTCCAGGTGGAGTGTAGCATTTCCCCAAAAGTACAACTGGTATCCAGACTACAGAGATGCAGACTACCCCTGGAGCAAACGGCAGTTTCTACGGAATCACGTCTCTCTTTATTCTGTTACTGCACCAGAATCTAACCGTTTAGGATTCTCTTTGGTGGATGAAATTTTTATGCCAACCGACGTGTCTGTTCATAGATTCAGGCGGGGTCACCGTGTCGGTCTGAAGCAGGAGACCAACGTTGGCGTCCAGGGGCTCCTTTGAGACCAACCAAGTTTTATTCAAGGTACAGGCTTTCGTGTCGTGCACGCACACTTCACTGTATCTGAGGAAGCGTGCTTGCACACAAAAGCTTACACGTGAATAAGACCTTGTTGGTCTTAAAGGTGCCACTGGACTCAAACTTTGTTCGATCTGAGGAAGCGTGCCTGCGCACGATAGCTTACACCGTGAATAAACTTGGTTGGTCTTAACGGTGCCACTGAACTCAAACTTTGTCTGACACGGCTGACACGGCTACCCGCCGGAATCTATCCGAAGAAATTTGCATGCACACGAAAGTGTATGCCCAGAATTAAACTTTGTTGGTCTTAAAGAGCCAGTTTGGTGTAGTGGTTAAGTGTGCGGACTGGAGGTTGGCAGCCCTAGGTAAAGCACTGGAGGTTGGCAGCCCTAGGTAAAGTACGTTGAAAGCATAAACCCAAAATTTAAAATCACGATCCAGGACTGCTACTAAAATTAACCAAATGCAATCCTAGATAAAAACCAGTTTGGTGGAGTGGTTAAGTGCGCGGACTCTAATCGGGGAGAACCGGGTTTGATTCCCCACTCCTCCACATGCACCTGGCTGGATGACCTTGGGCAAGCCGTAGTTCTGATAAAAGCTGTTCTTGAAAAAGAGCCGTTTCTGTCAAGAGCTCTCTCAGCCCCACCCACTTCACAGGGTGCCTGTTGTGGGGAGGGGGAGGGAAAGGAGTTTGTGAGCCGCTCTGAGACTCCTTTGGGTAGTGAAGGGCAGGGTATAAATCCAATCTCTTCTTCTTCTTTTACCTCACAGGGTGTCTGTGGTGGGGAAGGGAAGGGAAAGGAGTTTGTGAGCCGCTCTGAGACTCCCTTGGGTAGTGAAGGGCAGGGTATAAATCTAATATCTTCTTCTTCTTTTACCTCACAGAGCGTCTGTGGTGGGGAGGGGAAGGGAAAGGAGTTTGTGAGCCGCTCTGAGACTCCTTTGGGTAGTGAAGGGTGGGGGATAAATCCAATCTCCTCTTCTTCTTTTACCTCACAGAGCGTCTGTGGTGGGGAGGGGAAGGGAAAGGAGTTTGTGAGCCGCTCTGAGACTCCCTTGGGTAGTGAAGGGCAGGGTATAAATCTAATATCTTCTTCTTCTTTTACCTCACAGAGCGTCTGTGGTGGGGAGGGGAAGGGAAAGGAGTTTGTGAGCCGCTCTGAGACTCCCTTGGGTAGTGAAGGGCAGGGTATAAATCTAATATCTTCTTCTTCTTTTACCTCACAGAGCGTCTGTGGTGGGGAGGGGAAGGGAAAGGAGTTTGTGAGCCGCTCTGAGACTCCCTTGGGTAGTGAAGGGCAGGGGATAAATCCAATCTCCTCTTCTTCTTTTACCTCAGAGAGCGTCTGTGGTGGGGAGGGGAGGGGAAAGGAGTTTGTCAGCCGCTCTGAGACACCTTTGGGTAGTGAAGGGTGGGGTGTAAACCCAATCTCTTCTTCTTCTTAAAGTTGCTGCCGGACTCAAACTTTGTTCTGAAGTTTTTGTCGTTCGTCAATTATGTTTGTTAGAGAACTCAGGCAGGGTGTGTGTGTGTGTGTTTTGTGCTTTCAGAGGCTCAAGAGCAACCCTCTGTTAGTGCCCGGCTGGAAAGGTCCATGGTGGAATTTGGAAGCTCCGTGGTAATAAATTGCAGTACCAACTGCCCGCATCCGACCTCTGGTGACCTCGAGACCAGCCTGGAGAAGGAGGCTGTAGGAAACGGATCCCGATGGAGAGCTTTCCGTCTCCTCAACGTCAGCCACTGGGATCCCGTGCCTTTGTGCTACTTTGAATGTCCTGATGCCGGAGACATGGAACCTCAGCGGGCGAACTTCACTGTTTACCGTAAGTCCCATGCTGGGATTGTCCACAGAGGAATGACTGCTCTGGGTTCTGCTTGGCTTGTAGTAAGCTGGACGTAACTCGTTGGGATATTGGGGCTCTCCCCTTAGGGCAGGGGTGTCAAACATATGGCCCGTGGGCCAGAACCGGCCCGTCCGGGGCTCTAATCCAGCCCGCGAGGAATTGCCAGATGGCTGAGGCTGTGCATTATGTCCCTGTGCTAATGCCTAACAGGCGGTGGAAGTGGGAGGGTGGGCACCAGGGGGGAAATACCGTAAAGAGTTACAACCAGGGGTCATTTCGTAGAAAAAGAGGTGCAGGAGCTCATTAGCGTAACTCATTAGCATAACTTATTTGCATATGCCACACCCCCTGACATCACCGGAAGTGTGTCAGAAGGCAACACCCACCGCTCAGGCTCCACTGGACTGTTTTGGATTGCTAGCTACGGGGGGGGGGGGGGG